GCGTGCGCGCCGGGCCCGTGTCCTGGCGGAGTCTCGCAGCGTGGCCACAGGGGTGGCACAGTGCTTGCGCTCTGCTCACCCCCTCGGGCGCCCACGGCGGTGCCCCCTTCTCAGCGCTGGCCGCGTGTGGCCGAGGACTCACGCACGACGCGTCACACAGCAGCAGCACACGCGGCCTGAGGCGCGGGTGGCCACGGCGTGGCTGGCCGCTTCCCCCTCCCCAGCCGGCGGCGTTTGAATTGTCCCCACGGCCGCCGCTGTGCCACTCTCGGCCAGGATTCCGTGGCACCGTTCCCGTTCATCCCGTTCCTCCCGCGTGTTGGCACGGCGCTGAGTGGCCGGGTCGCGGCGACCGACGTCCGGCCTTCTGCAGAGCCGTCCGGCTGTTCCCCACGTGGCCGCTCGGCTGCACAGCCCCCCGCAGAGTACAAAGGTCCGCGTTCGCCATTGTCCCGGACAATGCTTGTTGTGTGTTTTCCTCCTCTTTGATTGCAGCCGCCCTGGTGGGCCCGCAGCGCCACCTCACTGCGGCTTTGCTCCGGCTCTTCCTGAGCATTCGCGGCGTTCACATAATTTCATGCGCTTGCCGGCCGTTTCTGCAACCCTTTGGGAAAGTGTATTCAGACCCGCTGCCCGCGTTTAATTGGGCAGTCTTTTATTGTCGACTTGTGAGAGTTCTTCGTGGGTTCAAGACACAGGTGCCTGGCAGATACACGCGGGTACTCTCTCCCTTTCTATGGTTTGTCCTTTCGGTTTCTTGGTGACACCCTTTTACAGCAAAAGTGCTTTGATGTTTGGACGAGGTGCAATTTAATCTTTCTGTGGTCGCCCGTTTCTCCGGAGTCATACCTGACACTGCTGATTAGTCCAGGGCCACAGAGGCTTGCTCTTGTTTCCTTCCACGTGTCTAAGAGTTTCAGCTCCTGCGTTTAGACCTGTGATGCCCTGCGGCTGACTTCCACACAGTGTGAGGTCGGGGTCCTGCCTCGTTCCTGGACAGGGGTCCGTTTGCTGCAGAGACTATTTCCGACCCATTGACTGGTCTTGGCACCTCTGTCCACCACTCAGCAGCTGGGTAACGTCAGGGTTTATTTCTGGACCCTCGTTCTAGGCCACTGATGTGCGTGTCTCCTGGCGCTACTGCACGGCCCTGGCTTCCGCAGCTTTGTAGTAAGGTTTGAAACTGGGAACCATCCGTCCCCCAACTCCGCTCTTTTTAAAGGTTATTTGAGCTCTGTGGGTCCCTTGAATTTCCAGTTGGAGTTTAGGATTGTATCTATTTCAGGTAAATCAGCTTGAATTTGGGGGGGCCGCTTTGATTTCGCCCATCGGCTTGGGGTGATTGCCGTCCTGGACGTTTCCCCATCAGTGAGTGTGAAGTGTCTGTCCTCGTGTCTCGGAGTCTTTAACCTCTCTGGCAGCGTCGTCGTTTTCAGAGCAAGCTTGCACTTTGCTGGATTTGTTCCTGAGTGTTTAATGTTTTGATTGACTTGTTCTCTTAATTTCAGTGTTTGATTTGTTGTTACACATATAAGGAAATAAATTGCTTTTGGCACATTGACGTTGTTTCTGCACCCTTACTCAAGTTAGTTTTAACATGTGAGAGGATGAGGGTTTCTTCGTTTCCTATGCACAAGGTCAGGCCATCTGCGAGGCCCCCAGGCACCTGTGGCCACCGGGCACCTGGCTGTCATCCCTCCCTGCACCCACTGGCGCCAGGTCTGCACCAGTTCTACGCGACCCC